GCCTCAGCATCAGCCAGCTTCTTCTGGGTCTCCTCCAAGTCTTCCTTGGATTTCTTCAGCTCATCAGCGACTTTGGAGGAGGAACCCTTCAGCTCATTCAGCTCTTGCTGAATTTGGAAAGCCTTTGTCTGAGCTTGGGCCACTTCAACTTTCTGGATCAGCAGTTGATCCTCAGCCTCTTGGAATTTAGCTCTTTGAGCTTCAGCAGCAGCAGCAGCCTCTGAGAGTTGGACGTCTTTGGCCAAGAGCAACTCTTCAGCAGCCATTCGGCTGGCTTCAAGAGCCTCTAGACGCTGCTGCACTTCAGCTTGTGCAGCAGTTCCTTCTTGAATTCGGCTCTCAATAGCAGCCTTGAATTTGGAGACGTCCACTCCCATATGCTCCTGGAGGAATTTTTCCCCTTCCATCAGTGGGGGAAAAACCTCCATCTCCATAGCATCGCAGAAGGTTTTCAGAGCTTCGGCAGCTTTTTTACCGTACTCCTCAACCTCCTGCTGCTTCTCTTCAGCTGCTGCTTGCTTCAGCTTAGCAAGCTTAACTTCCTCTTCAGCCACCTTCCTTTCGTGCACAGCAGCGTCTACCCTATCTTGTAGGGTATCAATCAGCTCTACAGTGAGAGTCTGATTGTGCACGAACTGAAAACAGGAAGACAAAAAAAAAAATAATAATAAATAAGTAATAAAAAAAATAGAGCTGAATTTCGGAGGAAATGAAGGAAAATTACCTGCATCATCAGCAGTTGGTTAGACCTGGCTGGGTCAGGAACTGATCTACTGGATTCGCCCATCCCAGCAGTGGCCTTCAGCGACCAGATCCTGGCCCTGTCTACTTCGGACATGCCAGCAAAATTGCCGAAGTAGGCTTCAGCTCCTTCTCGGTTTTGACCCCATATGAGGTCCCAGATGTGATCTGGGATTGGAATTCGGGGGGCCGAGAAACCCATTTCTCCAGAATGCAGAGTCTGGAAAGAAGGGAAGGACGACGATGGAGCTTGATTAGCTTTGGTTGTCTCAGCATCGTCCTTCTCAGAGGAGTCAAGTACTATGACCTCCTCTTCTTCAGGGGTGAGGACGAAAGCCTCAACCTCTCTTGCGATATCTGCCGTGAAGCCTTCAGCACTTGACATCACGGCATCTTTATTTTCGTGCTCAGCAGCACTCTCCTTGATTTCTTCTTGGACCCCTCCCTTAGGTTCGGGAGTTCTCTGATCCACCTCCATCTCAGGAGGTGGCGGAGGGGTCTTTTGAGGAGATTGGGGTGTTGGCTGGGGAACCCTCGGCGATCCATTGCCTTCCTCAGGTTCCCTTATTGCGACGCCGATGGTCATCGGCCTCTGCTGAAAATCATGAGGGCCGATGATGGCCATCCTTCGGCGCCTTTTCAGAAGAGGCTGCTCGTCCATATCTGAGTCTGAAGACTCTTGTATTTGATCTTCGGGACGAACAGGAGCTTTGCCTTCTCTGTGTCTGTTACTCTCTTCAGACTGTAACAGACAGGGGGGAAGAAGAGTGTGAGTAAAAAAAAAAAAAAAAAAAAAAAAAAAAAAAAAAAAGAAAAGAAGTTGTCTGAAAACTCACCGAGGTCTTCAGCAAAGCCTCGTCTTCTTCAGCGGCTCTAGCTGCAGCTTCGGCTTCAGCAGCTCTGGAGGACCCTTCTCCTCCTTCACAAGCCTCAAGTACCCGTGCAACCTCTTCGGCTGTACGGGCAGCTTCAGCTTCTTCGTTCAGCAGCTGAAACCAAGGGTCTCTCTTCTTCCACCAAGGCTTCTGCCTCTGATACAGAGCAACAGCCTCAATTTGGAAGTGGGAAGAGTCCAGATGAACTTCCCTATGCCTCGGCTCAGTGATAGACGGGGCCCGTTCAGTTACAACTCGCTCTCGGTTAACACCAAGACGAGCGTAGTTAATACCAACGTTGGTCTCGTCCCGCTCTGAAAAAAGGAAAGGGAAAAAGTTTAGCTCAGATATGTTGGCACAGCATAAAAAAGCAAAGCGAGAGAAGAAAAAGAGGTAGTTAAAAAGCCTCGGCCCCAGCCGAAGAAGCTTACCATCCTTAAACTTTCGGCTGAGGCCAACAGCTGCTAGCATATTCTCTTGGAAAACGTAATGCGTATCGGGGAGCCAAGTCTCCGGGATATGCTGCATTCGACCACTCCCCCCCGGGTTCGGCAGCTTGCCGAAGATATGTTGCTGATCCAGGTTCGGATCCGCCCCGTTATCTGCGGGGGGACCTAGACTTCCCATTTCGGGATCAGGCTCAGCTAAGTACCGGGGAGCGCTGAAGACACAAGGGTGGCCCGGATCTATGGGTGCCCTAACCCAAATCCATTGACCTCTCCAGTCCTTGTCTGAAGAGTCATTTGGCCACATGGTCAAATATTGGGGCCGGGACTCAATCCGATACCACCCAGAACCATGGCTTCCGTGCCCACTCTGAATATTTGGCACTAGCCGATGGAGCTTTCTGAAGCAGTGCAGGTTCGGCACGTATCTGAAGAACTTGCAGACCCATAAGTATGTCATCACCCTTCGGATGCTGGTGGGGGTTAGCTGACATAGGGAAATGTTGTAATGGATCAGCAAGTCTCGGACGAAAACGTCCAAAGGGAACCTCAGCCCATACTGAAGCTGTCTCGTGTACACCCCCACATACCCCGGGGGTGGACGATGGATTCTATCGGATGCTGAGGGCATTCGGCACCAATATCCATCAGCTTCAAAAATGCCGTAATGCAACTCAATTTGCTCGGCAAATCGATATTGATCGGCGTTCTCTACCCACCATGAGTAGGGGCGGTTCTTTATCATGGCCGAAGCGACTTCGGCATTCTCCCACTCTGAAAACCCAGGGAGGATATCCCAAAGGACAGCGGGAATTTCATCGTCCCGTCCAGAAGCACTCGGCTCATCCGTTCTTTGAGGAGGAGCCGAGGAAAGGGGAGTCGCCCTAATCCCATCAGCAGGGTCAGACTCCGGCCTTCGACCATTCCAGGTCCCAATCCTATTCCTAGGATCGGGAATCGGCCTTGCTCTTCTTGGAGCACGGGCTCTACCTCTAACTCCTCTTGCCATGGACTATTTCGAAGAGAAAAGTCGAAAGAAGAGGGGAAGGAGTTCGAATTCGAAGAAAAATAAACTGAAATCAAAGGAATTTACCTTAATCTGAAGCGAAAGTTGCCGATTTACGAGTTCGTAGTGGCAAGTCTCAGTTTCTAAGCTCAATGCTCGGGGGAATTTGCGAAGTTTTGATGCGGGTTCTTGGATTCTCTCTCGAAGAATTCTGGGTTTGTGTTGGTGAATCAGTGAGGAGAATGACGCGCCTCTGTTTATATCTCCAGGTACGGGATACGAAGAGTCTGTGCTTTAATTTCTCTTAAGTACCCACTAAGTAACCATTAAACACATGTCTTGTGATTAAACCGCCCATTATCCGTCCAACTTCCGCAAATCATTAACCGTTGTTATCTCATTAATTACGGTTTAAATTCAAATTCAAATTTTTGGATCAATTAAATCATTTACTTCCCTCCTTTTCTGAGTTAAATCAAACCCGACCCGTCATTCTTCCGAATCGGGTCTGGGGGGCAAGTTGTTTGGGTCCAATTTAGTCAAAATTGGGCCTGGGCACTAAATGATCCAATTAAAAGCCCAAGGTCAAGGTTCAACTCTCCAATTGCTCAAAAGTCAAAAGTCAGCCCACAAAGTAAGCCAATTGGGCTAAAGCCCAACCTCTCCAAATATGATGAGGTATAAAAGCCCTCATATTAACACATTCAAGGAGACATCTCATAACATCACATACGAGATCAGACACATTATCACTTGCATTATCTCATACACCGATTATGGCAATTCATATGCTCATTCTTGCATTGAGAAATACTCCACAAAAGCCTCAAGCTACAAACTCTCTTGCATAGTGTCTTCCTTTTTACACATTGTACTGACTTTAGCATCGGAGGGGCCTTCCTCGGAAACACCCCCGAGGCTAGTTTACGTGTGTTCACTGTGCAGGAAACCTTCGGCCCAACACAGCTTGGATCGAATCCAGTCTTCTCCATTTCAGTGGACCTTCGGCAAGGTCCCATTGTTTTCAACCGAAACACGAAGTAAGTACGTACACATACTCTTCAACTTAATATCATTAAGAACATCTTGTTCAACTTAATTTCATATTTCAGTAGTTAAACTACAATCTTATAAAGTTATAATACACTTGATAAAGTTAGGGGTGGGGGGGGGGGGGGATCATGTTCATGTACACGTAATATGTAATGAACTTAAATCATGTGGTTTGATTGAAGAGTGCTTTTTCATTCGTTTATTTTCCTAAAGAAGTTCTCAATAATGAGTATATAAAATCTCTTTATACATCCATATGACCATATATATACAATTATACATGAATGAATCAAGTTGCACTTGGTTGGCTTGAACTAAAGTAGTATTTATTTGGAAACAAAAAAGAAAAAGTATACCTATATCCCAAATTAGACTACACTTTATGTGAATCAAATCACAAAATAATAAAAAATGGTACAAATCATGTGGATCAGGTAAGCACTTATTGAAGACAGATCATCTAAATTTTGGAGTCTAAAATTGATGGGAGTTTAAAGAATACTCTCATATGTTGTTTGGTGGATAGAAGTTGGAAGTTTAACCTAACATTACCAACCAATTGGATTCGGTTTTTTATTTTGCTTGCCCTTTAATTTGCTTATACCAACCTCAATTTTTGTGCTTTGATTTGATTTTTACTTCTCTTTTAACAAGATATTAATTAACGTCAACCTTACTAAAATTATTATAAAGTCTTTGACTTCATTGGGGGTTCGGTTGATTACTTGATTAAGTTACGTTTTCTTAAACTCCAAAAAACTTTATATATTCATGCTTGTCATTTATTTTTATTTTTAAAATTTTTTCTCTGCTTGTCATTCTGTCAATGTATAGTTTTAACCTTTAACTTTATGTGTAACAAATTAAGATTATAAAACGAAAAAAATATTACTAAGACAAATTAATAGGATTTACAAAAAACAATTACATTTTTTCGTATGTATATACACCGTATCACAAAAGATTATCGAATGAGTATATAGAGTTAAAGTCTAAATGTATCAACAACAAATTAAAGAAACAAAAAAATATTGTACTCAATATATATAGAATGTAGACAATAAATTGAATAAAACATTAAAATCAAACCTAATTTGAATGTATAAACTGTGTAAAAAAAAAATATATGACAAAAACTTCTAATAGTACGTAATTTTAATGTGGACTCAATAAATAATTTCTAAATTGATAGTCTTTATCCAGCAGCAAAGTACAATTGTATTTGTTGAACAGGCCCACTATATGTTGAGTCAAATATATACTCCGTAATCCGTATCACCTAGCCCAAATGAATAACACTAAAATTACGTAGTATTAACAAGTAAACTAGGAATAACAGGTCTTGGAGTAAACCTACAAAAAAGAAAGTTAAAAAATATATTAATAATTAATCTAATTTTTTAAAAAAATATATTTAACAAAAAATATATAATGCAAAGTACTAATTTACCTTTTCTTCCGACTAGAGGTAATTTCTTCAATCCTCAGAAAAGGGAAATTATTCTCCAATTTGAGAATTTGAGCACTCATTCCAGCCAGATGTTCCTCAAATGGAAAAATTTTATATCCCAAACTCTTAGGAAAAATGTTTCTCGTAACATACCTGGCTATCATATCAGCCAAACCATTGCCCTCTCTCGGAATATGTTTGATTACCCCCAACAATCAAACTGAGAGAGTACATTTAACAAATTGCTACAAAAAGATTATAAAACAAATTAGAACTCAAACATATTTATATAATAAATCAATTTAAATAATTATTATAATAATATTTACCTATAAAGGTTGATGTACTCATCACGAACATACGAACGTCCCTCTAAGACATCTACCCAATCTAAACAATCAGATACGAGTTCTACCCGGGTAAAACCATTTCTCCAAACATAGGTAAGGGCTGAATAAATAACATATCCCTCCCCAATAAAAGCTGACCTTGCGGCCACTTTGGTCCAAAACAACCTGACATTTCCGGATGGGTCTAATAAAACTACCCCACCCCCGGCTTCGGTAGAACTCCATTTTTCGGAGTAAGATGCATCAACATAAATCTTAATCCAACTATCTGATGGCTTAATAGGGATTAACATTTGAATAGGGTGCACTAATTGTTTAACTGGAGGTAGGTTATGAAAGAACTGAACTGGCCAATGAGAAGGTAGGTTTTCAGAATCAAGGACAACTACCCGCCTACGTACTAATTCTTCCCATAGCCAAGATCTATACTTAATTGGACAAAACATTACTAAATTGACAAAATCTATTTTGGAAATGACAATTATTTCATTAATCTTGTCCATTTTCATTAAGTAGTAGCCTTTTAAAAGTTGATCTCGATAAAGATGGTAAAACTTTTCATATTCCGCGATCGACTGAAAAATAAAAGACAATAAACAAAAATTAAAAAAATAATTGGCAAAAAATCATTCATACATAAAATATACACTGATTATATGTTTATGTGTTTATTACCTTTGGAAATTTATTGGAAAACTTAGCCATTGGGGCATCCACATAATTGCGGCGGCATAAGAAAAGAAAATCTACAATTTAAATAGATAGTAACTTGCGTCATTATGGTTATTTAGAAGCATTTATTCTACTCTATAAAATACTCTATAAAAGGGTTTGTCTATTTCTTCTTTTTTAAAACAAAGTTTAGAAAAAAATAATTTTTTTTTAGAGGAAGTTTAGAAAAAAAGATTTCAAATAGAATAAAATAAATCCAACAAGTTTAATAAAATAACTAGTTTGGGACTCAGGCAATGCTACGGGTTATGTTTAAATACAAAATAAAAAGCTTACCTTGAGTTTAAATAATATCTTTGAACCATTATTACTTTGAATGTAAATAATGAAATAAACATTGTAAAATTAGTTGGGATAGAAAGAGAGATGTAGTAGTATTCATTTTAAAATTAAGTAGGAAATTGAATATTTTGCTTATAAACCTTTAAAATCCCTTTTTTTGAGAAAAAAACCTTTAAAATCCTTAATGAAATGTTACAACTCACGAATGTTAATTAATTAATAATGTGACATTAACTGTGGAATAGAAAGAACATACACAATGGAATAGAAAGAACATACACAATATAGTAAAAATAAATTTTATATCCATGGTAAATCAAAGTGAAATAATTATCTACTTGATATAATAGTGATAATGAAAAGTAGAATATTCAAGGGATGCAATGGTTTAAAATCAATCCAAATATTAATTATTCTTCTTTATTGGTGAAAATTCAAACATTAATATGTGGTGTCATGTCATCATATATGTGGGGCATTATATCATAAATTTCATGATGCCATAAGAATGACACATGTCGTCAACATATTAATTCCTCGAGTTTTAATCAATCAGATTATACTAAAGGTGAAACCAAAAATGACACTTGTCATTTCTCCCTTTCCTTTTTAATTTTTTGGCCATATTTTAATGACATCTATATATTTTATAACCTATAAGGCTATAATAATAGTCATTTCCATTTTGACAACATATTTAATCCAATATTACTCAATTAAATTTTTTACATATATTCTATATATATTAGGAAACTTTTAATTACAGAAATACTAACATAGATTAAAAAATAAGGTATTGGAATATATTGTTTTCCGAGATTATTATAATATTATCATTATTAATTTTAGAGAAAAATCATTTTGATAGCATACTTTTTACGGAGTATTAATCTTAAAACTATACATAACGTTTATAAGAACAAAATATTTTGTTACAGTATACTTCGTACATAACATATATTGGAAAATTAAATCTAATTGTTCTAAACATCTATGTGATTATTTTATTTTATTTTTAAAAAAACCTGCTACTCACTAAAAATATATTTAAAAAGTTGATTACGGAATACTAATTATCCACAAGTAAAATAAACTCAAATAAATTTTCATATTATGCCAATGTGTGTCAAAAATTTAAGGACAAATGTATATGAGTTTGTATATGGGTACTAACCTAATTACCTAATCTAATAATTTAATTTTTTTTATAAAACCTTATATCTTCTAAGTTTCTATTACTATATATATATATATAAATTTTATACAATCCAATTCAATAATCTTTACATTTAATTTAAGTTATTTTGTTACAAATAATTTTTTTTGGATAAATTATTGTTGAATTAACACAATATTTATTATTTATTTAATGTAAAATTTAATTATGGACTTAACCTAGTAATACTATAGATTTAAGACAACAAGCATTTGCATCCTAAATGGTCAAACTTCAGTGCATAACATGCTTCAAAATTAGAGTCCATTACAGTTTCAAATTCAAAATCAGATTTAGGGAAAACCGCATACTCATCCTCTGGTGTTGAGCTCCACCTAGGGCTTCATGGCCTCCAACGACTCCAAATTGTCTTCTCTGCAAATTATGGGAAAATATTAAATCTATAAACAATTTTATAAAGATTAATTTAAAATTGATAACAATTTATTTATTTATTTATAAAAAGGTGTTCTTTTAAACTTATTGAACCTTGTAAAAAACTAATTGAAACCTGTCAAATTTAATTAGACCCGATTAGAATTCCTTAAATCTAAATTTGGGGTCAGTGGTCCAATTTAGTGCGATTTTGGACCTAATCTAAATCAAACCGTGAGAGTACGGTCTACCATTTTACCATACCAATGTATTTATTTATTATTACACAAAAACCTTGCTAAATCTTACATAGCTTTTATTTAACATTAAAGAGGACCAAAGAGCACTTGAATATCGTACTTCCACACTAAGAATCATATCAGTTATATGTTTCGTAACTCCAAATTATGATAGATAAGAAAGTATCTTCAGCACAAATTAATCAAAATGAAAAGATTTGTTACTCCTATTATCCCCATTTTACCACCATCCTTAATCTTCCTCCTCCGTAAATAGCAGTACAGAATTTGGATTAGGTCCAACTTAGGCCATATTTAGCTAATATTAGTTAGCACTCAGCACTAACAAAGTAACAAGTTAATCAACAATGAATAATCAGTATATTTTTTGTTCATGCAACTAATATAGCTAGTTCATCCCCAACTACTGAACATTTCAACAATAGAAAAGATACAGAAAATTTTGGTTAAAAAAATAAGATAAAAATATATCATAAGCAAATCAATGGTAGATCCTAACAAAGATACAAATTTTAAAACAACAAAAGAAAGTGGAGTACCTGCCCAGGAAAATTAGGACGTTGCGCCCGGCTACCAGTTGCAGTCAATACACGTTTTGCAGAGTATGACAACTTTGTGCCATCTATTTGTGTCACTTGGACTTCATTAGGACCAACTATCCTGCCTTCACCTTCGTATAGTTTCACCCCAGCATTAGATAGCAGTCGTTTGTAAATGTTATTGAGCCTGATAATCTCATCTGTCTACATTAAACAAAAGAGTGCAACTTTAAAATAAAATAAAAAAAGCAAAGAATATATTATATGTTTGCAAATGCATCATATGCATGTAAGATTCTAAGGCATCGGAGAGGATTAACAACCAAACAGAAACCTAAGGCCTAGACAAGTCATGACCAATTTTTTCAAAATAAAAAACGTCAAAGAAAATCAAACCAATTATGCCTCAGCCCTTAATAAAAGAGTCGTGTTTTTAATTTACCAAAAAAGAAAAGGGAAATTCTACTATGGTCATTCCTCATTTTGACCACCACTATAATAAAATTTGATTAAGAATATAACAAGATATTCGTTTTTTCTCTCCCATTAACCCTACTGTTTATTAAGAAAATGTGGTCTGTCAATCGAAGACCAAAGTCATATTCACTATTAATTAAGAATATAACAAGATATTAATGAATTAAAAAACAATACTTGGTAATGTCCATAGAACGTATGGTCGTGTTTCATATAGGTAATGTCCTATCTGTATTTGGGTGGGTAAAATCTGATCCATATACACAAACACAATTTTAATTTACATATTCGTTTTTTTTTTGGATCAAAGAGGTTTTATAAAAAAATTGTATTGGTTTCTTCTTAGAATTTTCCGACGAACCCATATTCTTGAAAAACTTAAAATTTTGATTTCGATTACATAAAATCGGCGATTTCGCATCAATTGATGGATATTGTACAATCAAAATCGGTTATTGAAGGATTAATAAACCAATCACATGTTCGCTAAAACTCGGAATTCGAAAAACTCAAAAATTTCGAATACACTGGTTGGATCTTGCCATATTTTTTATGTCCATCGTTGCGCAAGTACCACTATAGGAAACTGGTCATTAATTAGAGGTTTGATTCATTCATAGACTAAGAACAATGAAAAAGCATGAAAAACAACGAAGAACACTAAAGAACAATTTTTTATTTTGATTTTTTTTATTTAATCTTATTTTAGGATTTTATGTAAAAGTAATTTTAGTATATAATTTTCGAAAATAAAAAATATAATTTCAAAATCAAAAAATAGTTTCCGAAAAATGAAAAAAGAATTATAAACAGAAAAAAAAAAAAAAAAAAAAAAAAAAAAAAAGGTTCGACCAACTATTTAAGAAAGGGAAAAATTGGCCAATCAAATTTTATTATAGTGTTGGTCAAAATGAGGAATGACCATATTAGAATTTTTTTTTAAAAAAAGGATAGTGTTTTCATATTAAACACAACCTATTCTATGTAAACTGCAGCCATACATTATGAAGTCCATGTAAAATCCATTAATATCGAATGAAGAATGCTTTTAAAATGGGCATACTCGAAAAAAAAAAAAAAAAAAAAAAAAGTATGCCTGTTTATTAGTCTCGCGCCAGATCTCAATATATTAAGGGTCATTTAGAACTAGGATAGAATGAGAATAAAGCAAACGGCTATTATTTCAAAACGAAAATTCCATCCTTACAAGTTACAACCTTACCATATCTTCCATATTCTCTTAATATATTCTAATTTCAAAATTTTTATTACAATAGCCATTCAATAACTACTTCCAGGTTAAAAGAAAGGTAGACTATAAAAACGAGGTCTAATGAAAAACCCTTCTATGGAAACAGACTTTCTCGAGACAGCAACAACTAACATGGACAGACAATTTAAAGTTAAAAGATATGAGCATTACATTGGCAAAGACAAAAAAAAAAAAGAGATATTCTAGATGGTGACCTCTGATGGTGGAATTTCTTTCTTTCTTTTTTTTTTTTTTTTTTTCCACGACGAACCTATGTATCTAAGTAATCTAACACAATTTTGTGACCTTATACAGCATGATTTGCTAAGATTTTATTAAATAATTAATATTTTTAAGGAGATTCTAGATTGTAATCTCTGTTTTTGCAAAATTCTTGATGGTGGAATTTTTATTTTATTTAGTTTACATCTCATCATCGATAGCAAGAATTGAATGTGGAAAATAGTGTTGCCAACAAAGTTCAGTCAACAAAGACTTCAAAACCTACTCACCTTCTTCTGCAACAATTTTTTCCAGTTGAAGTCGATCTTCTCATTCAACTCCCAACCAAAGCTTTTTGCATCCTACAAAACCAAAATTACAATAATGAATATATCAATATATGTATACAAAAGCTTGCAAGGCTATACAATTCAAATTTCCAAAGTAAGGCGTCATTGGCCACAAGATACTATGTAAACTAACAAAAAGAAACTGCAAGATGTTAAATCATTTAAAAAAATTAAGGGGTTAAAAAACCTTGAGGTGGAGAATATGCCACTTAAAGAATGTCACAATATTCAAGGGGGCATATGTAGCCTTATATGTACCATCTCTTGCAAATTGCAACCATAAAATAATTGATGGTGAATATGATACATAAATATTTTAAATGCACAAAAAACCTAAATAAACATCTAGACATATTTTTTAAACCCCTTTAAAAAACCACCATGTACTGTACATGTATCAGCAATTTCAAAAATTACAAACTAATCAGCGATACTGGTTGAGACAAACTCACCTTAAGTTCACCTCCAAAAGCAACTCCATACACCAATTTTTTTTGGGGAACACAACCACGAATTACACATCTGAAGACAACAAAAGACACAAGAAATAAAACCCCTAATTAGATTCAGAAAGAAAACAATTGCAATAACAGCAATGTTAACAATGGCAACAAGCCAAGTTCAGCAATAATCAAATGATCTGGTATCCATCAGATGGATTCCATCTCAGTAATCTAGTTAACTCTAACATGTGCATAAGGCCTATCAAAATAAATACTGTATGATATAGCCCCAAACAGGCAAGGGTACAAGTAGCAATCAAATAAAATAATAATAATAATAAAAGTATTTAAGGGTCTAAATCATAATAGAAATAAGGCCTACTAAGATAATATGTCTCCTGATGAATATGCATAAGGTAAGAGATAAAAATACACAACAAGGCAAATTGAGACACAAATTTTCAATAAAAATGCAACTATGGAATTTTGGACAAAATTATACCCAAGTTCATGACATATCATTCTTGTCGATAACAAACTAGAACAGGAGAAAGTTGAAAAGGCTTTCATTGGAAAGAGTCTTACGGGCCTAGGGGCAACTCACTAATATTCATAGCCTTAGCTTGCACTCAAAATCTCAAACTACGCCAAATTATACAACAAAGCAAACGGAGATTATCCAAGCAACAATCCATCAGTCCTTCCATTACAAGAAAACAATTAATATTATTTTAATTCGTAATGTTTAAACATATTTTCAATACTCAAGTAACCAGATTCTAACAAATCCATCCTTTCACTAGTACTTACAAATATCACAATACAAACAAAAATGATAGTAATCAAACAAGCACTTCCAAATCGAAACACCAAAAGTATTACAATTTCAACAAACAAGATCACAATTGCACCACATCAAGAGCTAAACAAAAGCAACAATAATCTAAATCATATCAGATATCACATATTTGTAAATGTAATTACATTAAAAAAAAGGTTAAATAAAAACTTACGTTCCACCAACTCCTCCAATAACCTCCGAACTAACTGGATGAAAAGGAAGCTCGCAAATTCCAACCTTAAAACATCAATCATTCAATAAATCAATCAATATAAATCAACAAATACTCAATCATAATAGCAATAATAAAAAAATTAAAAATAAAATAAAAAATCAAAATCTAATAATAATTCAATCCTTTACGAAAATCCATCTGAAATAAAATTATAATAACTTAAATCAAAAATAGGAAAGTGCCCTGGGATTTTCTGTTGTAGCTTTTACCCTTCAAAAGTTCAAAATCACTTTCTTGTTATCTTTGGTTGTCAAATTTTCTAAGAGGTTATCTATTAAACCTTATAATATTTTTCTTCCTCAGTTCCTCTTTTTTAATTAGCTATACAAAGTATTTCAATTTAATAAATATATTTGAAATTTAGAGGAAAACATACATATTTTGATAAATTTTTATGGTAATAAAAATAGGATTTTTTTAATTAAGTAAAATAGTAATTTATTCATAATAATGTTGAAAACAATGGATTTTAAATAAAAAAAATAATATGTTAAACTAAAATACATGATTATTGAGTTGTAAAACTTACTATGCCACTGCCATATGAACTATGATTAAGAGTATTTAGACGACCTTCATCTGCACAGGAGAAAGTAAAATAAAAAATACAGTAAGAAATGAATTTTAAAAAATAAAAAGAAAATAAGGAAACTTACCCCCAAAAATCAGTCTTAGATTTTTCACTCCAGGGTAAAGGCGGTGACCCTTGTAAATATCAATTTTCCAGGACTTGCGGGTGTGGAATAAAATCATGGGGAGCACCATTGCTCAATACTGTACAGTTAAACAAAACATCACTGGTTATGAAATGATGACGAATATATACTAGTACACAATCATAATCATCATAAATTACGTTACTATTTTTTTATTTTTTATTTTTTTTTTAAAACACTTTTTTCTTACATAGAAACACTTAAAAAAAAAAAACACTTTTTTCTTGCATAGAAACACTATAAAAAAAAACACTTTTTTCTTACATAGAAAGTAGAAACACTACTTTATTACTTACTCAGATCGATCAACGAACTTTGAGCGAAATCAGAACTAGCAAATTTTTTAAAGTTTGGAAATTTATTTGTAGATCAGATATAAAATGAGCAGATTTCTTCTAGTTTAGAAATATTTTTATAGATCAAACAACTTTGTGCAAAATTGGAATCGGCAAGTCAGTGAGCTTATAAGAAGAAGAAAAATGAAATGGAATGAGAGAGAGAAAACACTATTTCTCAAAAAAAAAAAGAGAGAGAGAGAGAAAAGACTATGTATGAATGTAGTTTAAGAAACTATCATTTGATTTATCATTTTATCCCTCAATTGATCGGCAGCAACGCTTATATACTACTACTCCATAAGTTGCAAACCCTAAAAATGCCCTAGAAAGTTTATGCCGACTTATTGTATTATCTAACAACGGTAAAATATTATGTGATTTACTACAAGACAAAAAGAATCATAATAGTACTATTGTGCAGCTGTGCTCAGGACCTCAGGTGAGCTAATTAGAATTTCTAAGCATTTAAATTAATGAGTACTCTATACAAGTATTATTTTGTGGATTAGTGTCATTAATAAATAATAATAATAACAATAATATAATAATATACTAATTATTACAAGATGGATTCTAAGGGATTCCGTATAGAACCCTAATTATGCAATAGATAACATAGAATGTATGTTTAGTCATGATAAATTAAATTATTACTTAGTACTCTGTATTTAGCTAATTCTTGTTTGTTTATTACTTAACCCCCACTAGTTGCTACACTAGTACAACCCCGTATCATGCATTTGACGTTAATATAAGCGATAAATTATATTCTGTAATTTACATTGCGGCATAGTTTAATGAGTAACATTGAGCCTTAAGATTTTTTGGATGCGAGAATTTCGTGAATATAATAATAAATCTAACAATAGTCAAAATAATATAATAAAATAATAAAAAGTGGAAGGAGTATTATTGTAGCTTAGTACGAGTACTTCGTTTTAATTATCTCCACCTCTCCGGTTCGATTATTTGCAAAAAAGGAATATTTTATGGAGTTATATACACAATAAGGTACTAAACTTTGACAAATGTATCAATTAAGGTACTGAACTTTCATTTGTATCAAATAGAGTACTATAACCTTGACTGTAGGTAAACTTTCCGTTTGCCACTGATTGTAACCGGTTAAATACAATTTCCTTAAATTTTTTTTTTTTTTCTGAAAGTAATAAAAAAAATTAAAAAAAAACCTCAGGACATGAACCCAGCTCGTTCAACTTTCTCTTTCTGTCCTTTAATGATGGACAAGCCATTCCTAATACCATACTTCATAATCTCACAACCACCCACAATGATCTAAAATTGAAAACATTAGATTCGAAAATTAACAAGAAATTACCCACAAAATAATACATTAGATCTGAAAATAAACCAGATTACAAAGAAAAAAAAAAATCTAAAAATATGCCAGTTGCAAACCAGCCCTGCCCCGCCCCACCCCCACTCACCGCATGAACTACGTACAACCCCCGGCCCTCCCCTACCCCTGACCCCTTTATCTTCCCCCTTTATTTCCTAAAAAAAAAAAAAAAAAAAAAAAAAAAAAAAACCATACCCACCTCAAATTCCAACCATAACCACCAAAATTTCACCCCATATCTACCCAAAACCCAACCCTAACCACCGAAACTCACCCCAGTCATTCCCAATCAGCCCAAAACCCTAAAACTCGTAAAATATAATTAGAAAGAGGAGAGGAGTAGAAGTGGCGGCCGTGTACACGGTCAGTAGGGTGGCGTTGTTCTACAGCGGAGGAGACCGACTTTTTAATTTTATATAAAGGAGAGTGGATTTGAAGTTGATGATGAATGAAGATGAAAACCCAGAAGTTGGAAGAGAGAGAAATTAAAAAGATTTCATTTTTTTTTATTTACAATGTTAAGTGGTTAAAGAGAGAGAAATTAAAAAGATTTTGTTTTCTTTTACTTTTTTTACAATGTTAACCGGTAATATTAGGTAAAAGGGAGAGTTTACCTGTTTCAGTACTCAAACTGATACAAATGAAACTTTAATACCTTATCTGATACATTTGCCAAAGTTCAGTACTCTCTTGTGATATTAACTCTATTTTATGTCTCACAATTATACTCCTTTATTGCGAATAATGCGAACTAGAGATAGTATTAGATTTTTCTAAAAAAAATCTCTTGAAAACATTTATTATTAATTCCTTTTTAAAAGTTTAATATAATAATGATTTGTGGTTTTCCTTTGATTTTGTTTTAATACAAACATGCCAACCGCAACTTTCTAAACATAGTAAAACATTCTTGGATTAAGTCAATACTCCGTATAATTTAGTTAATAAATACAGAGTATAGAGATTTAACTTGTTTCCTCAAAATAAAAAAATACAGTATAAAGATTTGTTTAATATATGGGGTTTGGTTGATAAAATTATACTACGTATAATACTCGTAGTAGTATTTCATATGAAATCCGTTCAAATAAAAAAAAATATATATATATGAAATGAGGTATCACCAGAGCATGTAAAACAAATCTTTTCCAACAATAAAGGACTATGTATTTACAAAAGCTGCACTGACTCATTTCCTCATTGGCGGAACTCACACCGCCTCCAAACACCACAGACCACAATAATCCACACCACCTGTTTCGAACACTCGCTGCAAACGTTTTGTTTCATTCAGCTTATAATAAATGAACTTGTATTCCCTACTCCCTTATGAATATAGTCACTTTCTTTTCCTTAAATAATATGGAGTATAAATATTGTCAATTGATTTTTTTTTGTTTTTTTTACAACAGTGAAAAATATCAATTGATGTTATGGAATAAAAATTACAAGTATTTATTAGAAGTGTCAAAACCGCATCTAATCGATCCGACTTATATGAAATCGACTAAAAAAAAATATTTGATTAATATTTTGACTTGCATGAGCACAATTAATTTAGTACAACACAAGTTTTAAAATAGACTTTACCTGATCCCGGCACCGAATTGACATCTCTATCTATTTTGCCATCTAACAACGGAGTAATGAAATATTCATGGCCACTAGCTAATTAATGAACGCTTTATTCCTTATAGGCTTATACTCAAGCCTTCAGTCCTTCCACCGTAAATTTTGCTAATAATTTTTTTTTTTTTTTTTTTTTTTGTGCAAATTTGATAATCGTTGTATACAAGCAAGTTAAATAGTTAATGAATGTTGTTTTGTCATTTTTTTTTAAAAAAAAAATGAATGATGTTACTAACATATATCGTCCAATATATTGTACTTGTAAAAGAAATAACACTCGTTAATCTGGTAATTGGGACAAGCTACTTAGCTACCCCGTATTGTAAAAGTAAAATAGGGAGTAATAATTGGTGAAATATGAAAAGAAGAGATAGAAAATGAGGTCATTCGATCTCATTAAATGCATTGATTCATTAACAAGGCTATCTATTTGACAGGACCTTGGGATTAAAATATTCCTTCTATAATCATTAATTTCATTTTTAATGGTATAAATGTATTGTCCTCTTCTCTAATCTCTATGGTCCATTAAAAATTTAAAAAAAAAAATCTATACGAGTACTACTTTAAAAAAAAAAAAAAAAAAGTTTGTAAAGTTTTATGCAAGCTTATTAAATTCTACTCGTAAATTACTTTTTTAATTATTATGAAATAATTTGCCTCATCACTTCTATTATAAATAGTTATACGAACCATTTTTTAAACCATCATCTATTTATCTATCTATCTATCTATTACATATTACTAAAGGCAAATTTAAAATGACACTTGGCAGCATTGTACGGAGTATTTTCCCTCCAAAAGTATTTACTTAAAAAAAATCTTACTATAATGAATTATCATTGTATCTAAATAACGAGATTTGCTTTACATAAAATCTAATCTAAACTTTCTAAAAAATTATATTGTTTTTTTTAAAGCAAATATTATATTGTTTATTATAACTATTTTATGTGGTTATTTTCAATAATATATTTCATACTCTCTAATAATTAGTGTCAAGTCCTTATTTTTTTAATGTCGTTTTATAATTTTGTTGTATTATAATCACTTCGTATTAAACAATCATGCATCTATTGCACCAGAATTAATGTTTTACTTCACTAATCACTATACTAGGGTGTCCTCCGCGTGCATCGCGCGCGGAGGGACTAGCTCTTGCAAAAAATTTGTATTGGCGTGTATTTATACCGTTGGTTTGGGTGGTAGACCTGGTAATTTTAATACGGACACTATTTGGTTTATGTGTTTAGGTGGTGAATTTGTAGAATAGTATGTGAAAGCCACCAAAATCTTTTAAGACAATTATTTTTTAAAACACTAAAAAGTATGATAGTGTTATTTCAAAATTATTATTAAGTAATATTTAATTGATTTGCATCCCTTCATATTTCAAGCGCCAAGTGTTAATTTAGAACTCTTAATTGATGTGCATATTTCAATAATACTATATGTAATATTTCTAACGTGTTTTTCTTCAAATGAACTTTTTTGTGAGCTGTGATCATTTGGACTATGGAGTAATAATATGTAAAATGTTGCAGCTAAAAACTTAATAATGTATATTTTTCCTCTTAAATTCTCTCAAAATTAATACCAGCTATGTTTTTCCTACCGTTGATTTCCCTTGATTTTAGGATTTTTAAGTTCTTTATACCTTTTGATAACATACGTCTGCTCAAATATCATTGTATATTTAATATAAATCTCATTCAAATTCTATAACATTGTTAACATGTACATTTTAAAAGCTAATAAACCTTAACAATAATTGTAATTAAAGGACAACAAGATAGTAAATAAGAAGAGCAACTACAAAAGAGTAAAAAAAAAAACAGTCTCTTGATAATAAATTGTCTCTTTGTACATACAATTTTTTTTTCTTTTTAAATAATTATTATATCATATGAAATGTAAAACATTAAAAGAAATTATTAAAAAAATGCATTACATGTTTTTTGTTTAAAAAAAAAACTGAATTAATTGATGATATATCATATATGTTTAATGAAAAAATAAATTAAATACATTAATGATAGTAAACATATTAATGAGGGTAAAAAAATAAATACACATTTTGTACACAATTTTGAGGGTATACTTGGTAGCACACTATTCCTAAGAATTATCTTCTACGAGTAATTTTTAAGGTAAGGATAATTTAGTAAAATCCGTGCATTGCACGGGAATTTAACTAGTTAGTTAATAAAACAATGAAAATCAACAATTTATTTTTAGCAACCTTACCGCATAAATCTAGCCTTTATACGAGTAATTAATTATAGCACAACTATTTTATTAAAAAAAAAACACAACTATACAAGTATTATTATTGTGGCATTAGGTCTTAACTAAATTCACCTTTATTTAAAACAAAATTTATTGAAAACTTTTAATGTGAAAAATCATCCTTTTGATCATTAATGTTTAAAATTAGAAGTATGATTTTTTTTTCCACAATTAAAGTTTTCATGAGAATTTATATAATGATGATATTAGCATGTTACTCTGTATCTAAATGGGCTTTTAAAGCATCAACACTCGTGATATAAAATTTTATACCACGGTGTAAATATTCATCCAAAAGTTGCAAATTTTTACTACCTTGGTAGCATAAAATTATACTATCAAATGACATGTACCAACCAGATCACGCCATGTGGCCTGGTTGTCATACATCTTTTATTTATTTTTTTTCAATTGCATTTTAAGAAAAAATTATAAAGTCAAAAATTATGAAAAAATTATCAAAGTTCATAATTTTTCAAGACATACACATAGACACCCATATTGATATAGTTTTATATATTTTTGAAATTCACTTTTTTCTACCTAAATTGCTTATATTTATTTAATTAACTTTATAAATAGTAATTAGTTATTTTCAACATAAAACAAAATATAATTATAATTTAATTAAGCGTATAATTCATACATATAGGAGAGAGAAAGTATGTTGGTAAACTTTTTTTATACCATGGGTGGGGTGATTTTTGGAGAAAGTATATTGTATTGTTGTATAGATGATGTGCAGGAGTGAGAAAGTGGTAGAGAGGGAGGGGTGGTATAAATTTTTATACCATGAGTGATGATAGTCTAACGCTTATATTTATTCTCGTGTTAAAAAATTGGGTAACGCTCTTCTTTCGGAAAAAATGGGTAGGTAGCACCGTAGCACCCTCATGAGTCATGACTAGATGGGAATCAATAATCATGGGATACTCATAGTTGTTCAAAATTAATTTGTATGGTTCTTGTTTCAAAAAAAATTTATACAGTTCTATCTAAAAAATTGCCTCAAATCCAATTAATGGTTGTATACATATTTAATTATCTATAGCTTCGTGATCAAACACGATATTACATCTCACACCCTCATTATATCAATTCAATTGTTGCACATAATTTTTTTACCGATAAAAATAAATAAATAACTAAATTAAAAAAAAAATCTAACTTTAAAGTATTCGATTCAATTCACCCTATTAAAAAAAAGATAAACCTCATTTCTTCAAGTATGTGTACTTTTTTTTTCTTAACTTATAAAGAACTTACTTCCACCTCTAACAATTTAACACAAAAAAAAAAAAATCTATCTAATTTAAATTTAAATTTTAAAAAAATAAAATTAACAAACAAATACACTTGGCAGTTTCAATGTCTCCCTAGATTCCATAACCATTTCAGCAACTAACATTCAAAACTATCCCTCACATAATCCGAAAAAAAAAAGTTCATGAAATTTGCCTTTCAGGTATGGGTTTTGATAAAGTTATAATCTTATACAAACTATTGTACTTTTGTGATTAAATGGATATATAATATGAGGTATGTCATAGTGTAATTGTGATTTGTGGAGAGCATTGATACATAATTTATGCAGCTTTGTTAACGATTTCTGTTTTGAATTTTAGTCTTTATGTTTTTTTTTTTTGACACGCTTTATGTTTCTTCTAAATTTAAGTATTTATGATGATTATTATGAATTTAAATCTTTATGCATGATCGATTATCATAGGTACTGATTATTTTTTCCTGGATTTTTGTTTGATTTTTCAAGGTAATGTTATTATGATCTTTACCAAATCTATCAAAAAATCACCATAGCACTCAAAATTCCCAACCCTTCAATTATACGCATTTTAGGGACTACCCTTTAAACAATTTCAACTTCTCTAATCATCAAAACAAAAATTGTGTAGCACGCTTTGAAGTGACTGGCCTCACCGAATAATTGCTTGCAAAAGATCAAATTAAGTAGTTCCTAAAGCATTGGTGGACTAATCCCTATGACACTAATTAATCGAGTAACCCTTAAAACACTATAACCTCTATAGCTTTGACAAAATAAACCCCATAATAGTTGGTCACATTGCGTGGCCACCAACCACGGGTATACAATTCCTTTATCAAAAACTCACCATAGCACTCAAAATCCCCAACCCTTCAATTATATGCATTTTTTAGGGACTATTCTCTAAACAACTTCTTAAATCATCAAAACGAAAAAATGTGCAACACTCTGGTTAACTTACTTCCTACGTAGTACTACCTCCGTTTCTTTTTAGTTGATACGTATTCCTTTTTAGGAAGTTTACTAAATAGAAACGTATTAATTTTTAGGAAGTTTTTTTTTTAGTTGAAACGTTTACTTTTGGGGTAAATTTTTTACCTTGTATTTACAACGTACCCCACTTACTTTTTTATTCTCTCTCACTCTTTCTCCTCTCCTTAATATATGTGCTTAAATCAAACGCGTCAACTAAATAGAAATGGCGAAAGTATTATTTTTTTTTTCTTAAATAAAGAAAAAAAATTGACAAATCAACCGTGGATGTTTATCAAAGATAAAACACAAATAAACGCTTATTAGTTTGGTGACGGAAAAATGCTATTCCGTACTCCGTATAGTAAATGAAATAAAATAAGGGCGTTTTTTTTCTCCTCCCAAAAAGAGTAGAAAGAGACGGAGAGAGAAATCCTCTGTCATTCAGTCATTTTGCTTTTTCATTATTTGATTTAACAAAGAAGATATCCCCTGACAGCATATCAATACGACAGTACGTCGCATTAAATGTTTCCTATATTATTTATTAAACATTAAAAAAATTCATAAAAACGAGAACAATTTTTCTAGCAAGCATACAAGTATACAACATAAATCTAGGAGTTAAGGTAATAATTATGGACTAAAGTTTTATACTCCGTACTTTTCACCTTTTGGGACTGAATTTTTTTTTTTTCACCGTTTGACACTCGTGGTTAAATTTCAAGCCATCTAACCCATTTGAAAAATTTAGTAACCAACTTGAGCATTAATTGGAGTTATAAAAAAATATATATTCCAAACCAAAAAAACATCGTGAACATCAGTTATAAATTTTTTTAAGCAAAAAAAAAAAAAAAAAAGGCCTTCTATGTTCCGGTTTTTTACCTTAAACCAAAATAGCAAACCACAATCCAAAATTTCAAAACAAAAACAACAGCATCCACAACATAATGCAGCTTCCAACATCCAAAAATAGCAGCAAGCTTTCTTCATATCATATTTACTTTGGGTATTTTTTTATTTTTTTTTTCAAATTCCCTTTTCTTGCTCTCCCAAAACCAATGTTTCAGCCTACAATCACAAGTATGAAATGGTGAAACAGCCAAACATGAGATGTAGTTAAAAATTTTCAAATTGCAATTTTTTTCTACTCTGTGTATTTGTTCTTTAGGCATTAATTTGTCGTTCCATAATTGAATTAAGAAGATGGTTTTCTTACCTTGCATTTTAATGAAATTAGAACAACCTTGTTGGTCCATTATACAATGAACTTTGTTGTGTTAAATGATTTGTGTTTGATCCATGACTTGACTGACTTGGTACAAATGCATGATTTGATTGAGGTGGAATTGTGTTAAGATGCTTAATATTTTTTTTTTTGACAAATGCAAAGGAACGAAAACTAATACAAACTAGACAAGGTAAAACGACATTTCCTAGCTATGTCGTTTGCCCTTTTCACCCGATCTCTTGGAACTTTTAAGATTGCACATCTTCGGAAGGTGGCCCCCATTTCCTTAATCTCCCTAACCAACCAGGTAATTGAAACATCCTTACCAATGTTATCATGTAAGTTGTTAAGTGGGGAGATGGAGTCAGAAAGCAGAAGAATACCATTTTTTTCCCTGTGCTCTTGTCAATTTCATCGCTTCCAGACATGCCCATGCTTCACACTGTAGTACCGATGAAGTTGCTCCACTAAGCCCTCCTTCATTCCTCATGTTTGCCGAGTTATTCCCAACCACTGCCCATCCAACCCCTGCTCTCGAAGTCTTCTTATCCCAAGAACCATCCGCCTCCACTATAAAATCATCATAACCAGTCCTATCACTTCCCAACTGCACATTATTAAACCCCGGAATGATAGGGTCCTCATTCCTTACCCCCCTATTTTCCCTGTCTTGGTTGTCCCTATGGGTGAAGACCTCATGGTCTTGCATTGCTTGGCTTATGAATTCCGCGACCAAGCTTGCATTCCCATTTGCATTCTTGAAACATCTCGCATTCCTTGACTTCCAAAGCCCCCACAAGGTTGCTGTAAACAGAGGAATACGAGTCCCATTTTTACCATCCTCGCTATGAAAGAGAAGGATATAGCTCTAGATCCACCTCCTCATGGAGCTGGAACCAGTAGAGTCATGGCTAACAGGAAGAGGGGAATTCCCCCAAACTTCCCTTGCCAGAGAACAAAACCGGAAGAGGTGTTGACAATCTTCCGACCCCGAGTCACAGAAATCACAAGTCTCCTCGACTTGTAGCCCTCTTCTTGCTAGGTTGGCCTTTACAACAATATTATCATGAAAGAGTCTCCAAAGGAAGAATTCCCATTTTGGTTGTATATCTAATCTCCAAATCAACTTTACAAACCTCTGAATCTTTGATCCCTGTCTGAAAAGGAGGATTGACTTAGCCCCGCATCCTTCAAGAGATAATAGTATCCTGTTTTAACCGTATACCTCCATGATGGGTGGTATTTCCAATAGATGAAGTCATCGTCCCCTTTGTGTGGGAGGTCCATAGCCAAGATAGCTTTTGCACTATTCCAATCGAAACAACTCCTTACCTTTCCTGCATTCCAAGCTCCTGTGTTCCGATCAATAAAATCTTCCACCTTCCAACCTAGAGCATCACCCAAAATTTGGTTTGACCTAACCGTTGGTATCTCACCATCTACCCAAGGCATACTGATAGCCTTAACTTCTCTCCCATTGCCAATCTTCCAAGCAAACCCATCCTTAAACCTCCTAGCAATCCTTTGAAGGCTTGATCTTCCCAAAGATGGATTCCCTATTCTCACATACGGCCTAGCCATACTACACACCCCACATGACTGAAATCCTCCATACACTCTAGATATCAACAGTTGAGGATTGAGGTGCATCCTAGATTATTGCTTGAACAATAGCGAATCATTGAGGGCAGAAGTACCCCCGATTCCCAGACCCCCATACTCTTTGGAGTCTGGATGACCTCCCTACTGACCCAGTGTAGGGAATAAATTCAAGCGTTAACCCCTAGCTTGAACCCCACTGTGATCATACACTAAAGTACGGTGGCGTCCAAAAGGGAAGAAGATAGAGAAAAAGAGTCGCCAACAAGTTTTAGGAACTTGTAAACCGTTCACGAGGTGAAGGTTACACCCATTAACGATCCAAGAGATCGTCAACTCCATAAGGTCTAGAACCAAATAAGGGTTCGGGGATGAAGGTACAAATCCAACCTAAAAGAGATTGAACCTGCCCTAATAATAGGCCTCTACTTTATTCTGATTGTATTCATGTGCGCTTTTTAATTAACATGCAATCAATAGGATTAACCCTAAACCTGTTTATCTATGTTGGTTGAATATTAATGCACAAATAAAACTATTATTGGCGATCACTTGAATTATAATCAAATGAACCCTAACAAGATTATTAATTATCTTATTAAGCGTGATTACAAGTAACAAAATTCCCTTTAAACATTCGTAAAAGGCGTGATCAAGCAATAACAATAAATATCAAGCAACATAATAATAATCATGACAATAAAATTATAATCATAATAATAATCATCATAGATAAAATAATCATCATCAAAATAATAATAATAATAATAATAATAATAATAATAATAATAATAATAATAATAATAATATTCTTAATCATCATAAATTACAACAATTATAATCATAATCATGTTCATAAAAATAGCAAGATCCTAGGCATGATACTAACAAGATTAATAACAAACCCTAGCATGTCACTAAGCAATAAAAATCAAATCTTTAGCCCTAACATGATACTAACAATCATACATATTAGGAAGAACATAGGAAGCATCATAACAATCATATTTATTATTAAAATTACCCTAGACATGATACTAGAAATATCATAATAACAATGTAAACATGATTTCTACATCATAATATCAATAAAAACATTAAAGTACTTACTTTGATGCCTCGTACCTCTTTCTAATAACAAAATACACACGTTAGTAACTTCAAGGAAAATAATAAACAAACAATTAAATTAAATAATTTAAATAGAGATTTGGGACTAAACCCTCAGAAATATCAAACCTTTCACGTTTAGGGCGAAGGCAACTTCGAATATGGCTAGGTGTTTCTAGATCTTGTGAATGCGGAATTTTGTATGAAAAAGCAAGGTTTAGAAAAAAGAGAAAGATGAATGAATTGATTGATGTTTGAATGAATTAGAAGAGAATGAGAATTAAAAACTGATTGTTGATGAGAATTGGTGAATGATTAAGAGAGAATTAGAGAATTAATGATTGCGAATGAAAACTGATTGTAGGTGAGAATTCGTGAGAATTGGTTAATGAAAACGGAGTTTTTAATACGTTATTTATAGAGAAAATCAACCAAAAAGATAAAATATCAAAACAGAGCATTTGACGCACGTAAAACAGAGCTGGCGCAAACCCTGGCTAACTAGCGCAAGGCACCAACACTAGCGCCATGCGCCAAGCCAGTTTTTAACGCGTTTTCAAAAATCAGATAAGTTTGCCGTACTGGAGGATAAAATCGTATATTTTCCTCAAAAATGCTATTTGATTTTAATTAAAACTCTGAAAAGTCAACAAAAGTCAATTTATCAATGCTAATTGATTTAGGAATGAAAAGAACCTTCTAGAAGAATCTAGAAGACAAAACCATTCCTAATTGCATTAGGAATGATAAATCTATATTAGGCCCTCCCCTAGATCATTGGGCCGCACATAAAGCTCAAACCGGGCCCAGTTTAGTAAATTGGCCATAACTTCCTCAATAGTCATCGGAATCGGGCTTATAATATATCGTTGGAAAGGTCTTTGCAAGCCCTATCCAACTACACTATTATTGGACCCATATCATGGACCAACCAAACTGGATTAACTGTTTTCTTAAAATAAGTTTTCAAAAACAGAGAGAAGATAAAAGAAATTAAAAAACTATCCGCAACACCAGACTTTCCACACTTTCGCTTCATTCGATTATGATTCGACGTGAAAGATACTTGATTAGGGGATTTTTATTCACCAATCACCGTCTGACAAGTGGACCAACCAGGTTCCGCCACGTGTCCTTCACGTAGGCCAATAGGAGCCTGCCACGTGTCAATCGCAGATACGTCCTCTACGGACCAATTGAGACACGACACGTGTCCTTCCCATGACACATGGGAAAATCAGCCAACAAGGCCCAATCCTGTTTAGAGGCCCAGTCAGCCCTAGGTTTTCCCTAAACCTAGAGAGTGGCACGCTTCCCGAGGTTATAAATACCCCCCTTAATCCTCATTAAGAGGGGTAACACGGAAAAACACACGGATTACGCATTAAACACTCTCACCTAGAGAGACCAACCACTTTAATTTCCGCATTAATTACTCCTTAATCAGGTACTAACTTGACCGTTGGAGGCGGAGCTCCCACCCCAAGGAGTCTCCGTTGTTTTGCAGGTACAGGCGTCCGGTTCCAGTCTCTGAATTGTAACTCTCCCGCAGGACATCAGAAAACCCCGAAACATTTTGGCGCCGTCTGTGGGGAGAGTACTTCTGAGATGGCATCCACGTTTGTACCGACTTTTGAAGAGAGGCGTCCCCTAGACGACCCTCAAGTCCAGTCGGACCATGATACTGAAAATGAATTTGAAGTTGAAGCCCACACAGCTCCAGACGGGACCCTAAGGGCCCGACGTACCCGTTAGACCGAAAGGAGGGAACGGGAACATTTTCAAACTGAAAGCGAGCCAGCAGGCGCACCGCCTGTTCGGCAGCAGGCGACTGATGGATCTGCTCCCATCACAAGGAACGAACTCATGACCTTCATGAGGGACTTCAAGGGAGAGATTCAAGAGTTGCTAAATAAGAAGCCTGCACTGGCCAAAGAACAGTCGGCTAAGAAACCTTCCACTTCAGGCAAGAGGAAGCCGGTTCAAGGGCGAGAGGGAACTCCTCATCCTAAATCCAGGAAGTGGGAGCCGCCTGCCCTTGATCTCACAAAATATCGTTTTCCTACTCCAGGAAAGAGGAAACCCGTTCGTCACATTCAGGCGGACGGGTCGAAGAAAACATACACAGACGCTCGTCTGCTGTTAGAGCAGAAGAAGAGTGACCGACTATCGGAGTCGGCCTCTACTTCAGATTTCCAAGAAAGTCTGCGAAATACCTCGATAAGGCATACCCAGTCGTATCATGAGAGTCAGTCAGGCGGCACCTCCCGTCAGTCCGGCTTTCATAGCGACCAGGCGGTACCAAACTTACTATTTGTAC